AACACTGATAATGCTCAATAAGCATTTGAGTATTTGGCAGAAGAGACTCTTGATAAGTGTGTTACAGTCTCTCCTGCTTCTAACTGCAGTGCTGGGCACACCGAGGAAAACAGAAGAGGAGGCAGAGGGAGGCACAATCTGGCAAAATGAGTCAGCCACTGAAATCAGTAAAGCTGGGAGTTTTAACTGAAGAACGCCTTAAAAATTTGTTAATGGAAGTCCATTTCATTTACTCACCAAATATATATTGAGTTCTTCCAAAGGGAGAGAGTAAAAAAATCAGCTGCTACTGGTGCTGCCAGTTATCCAGCTACTGTCAGGCAAGCTTTAACAGCACTAAGGATTCACTCAGTACCTAACTGAATATTTCACCCTCACATTACATTGGCTGGTGACTATCAGAAGAATCTGTGCTAGGTGTTTTGCATATATTCTTTCACATAATTGTATTATATTATTATATTCCTACTTTATCTCTTTGGATAGATGCATAGATAGATGGCAGATCTATAGATAGATAGATAGAGACAGACAGACAGACAGACAGACAGAAAAATACATGAGGAAAGGGAAAGGACAAGGTAGAGGGAGAGAATGAAGGAGAGGAAAAGAGAAAAGCATATATATATGGCTCATATGTATATATTCATATGGGTGTATATGTGTGTATATATACACAGATATGAACCAAGATTGGAAAAGGCTACCCTTGTCCCTGTGGATGTGCAAATGCTCAGGATAGACAACTCATACTGTAGCTTCCACTTGTTCATTTAGTTCCAATGTGTCTTAAATGAATGACAACTAAAGCATAATGCATAATGCTATTCAGACCATTAAAGGATTGGGACCTTCCATTCATAGATAGCATTTGGGAGACACACCTAATTGCTTAACTAATAGAGGCAGAAATGTATTACATGTCAAAAGCAAGAGCAAGTGTGCGGGTGGGGGAAGAATGCAGTCATAACTTTCAATGCAAACCCTATGAAACTAGGAAAGTTAAAGTAGGGGTTGGTTTGGGAGGAATAGGGGGAGAAGATGAAAGGTGTGATATCGATCATGATGCATTGTTCTTATAAATTGACATCCTGAAAGATAATTCCTTTGTACAACTACTTAACGATAATAAAAGATATGATTACAAAAGAAAAGAAAGAGCAACACACTGGTCTGGTGATGCCTGTTCTCTGTTTCAGTGGATTTCTCATATTCTCATAACGCCAAGGAGAAATCTACTGTCCATTGCTAACTAAAGAAGTTCCTGAAAGACTGAGTCTTTAGAGCAGGCACCTCCCATCCTAACGTGTAGAACATGCAGGACATGTATGCTTCAAGGAAACTCAGTGTGGTTAAGTTGTTGCTGAACATTAGGGACATGTTTTTTCTGTTTTATTGCCTTTGTTGAGAAAATATTTTACTTGCAGTTTTAAATGAAGCATGTCATTTTTAAAGCCATCTTTTCTCTCTCATTTCTCTCTCTGTCTCTCTATTTCACACACACACGTATAAGCAGAAATGCCAACATAGAACAGCATTGGAGTGATTTGATATTTTTTCATTGTGATAGTAAATACTAATTAAAGGTTTATTTTGATGCAGAGATTGCTGTAATAGAAGACACAATGCAAGGTACATATTGCCTAATGGCAACAATTTTAATATACTTACTACAAGTAAACATCTATTTTCCAGACAACTGCTGACTATAAACAATATGTCTCAGCCAAAGCTCTTTAATGGTGCCACATGTTGGACAGATTTGATGCCTTATAATCCAAGTTCCTTTTGTAAAACACGATGTGCACATAATTGCTTTGTGGACTGCTTTAAATGCATGATCATTGGGAATAACAACCAAGTCAAAGGTGAGGCTTCACTCTTGAGAAGAGCATCTTTCTACGAAGTCTAAATTTATGGAGAAATGCAGGCAAGTGGTAGCTGAATTGGGCCCTCAATGTATGCAGCTGACCAACGCCCTCCCCCCCCCAGCATGTCCCATCTCCTTTACAACCAAGGGGTGTAAACAATTCTATATACAACTAGGTGTTCAGAACACTTAGGTCCCCAAGAATGGCCCCATCTGCTTCCTCCCACTCATTCTGAAACCAGGCTGTCCCCCACAGATGTGTGCTTTTTAGTCCTGCTGATGAAATGTCTTAGCAGCTGCATTTAATAAACTCCCTTCAAATGTTGAAAAGATAAACATTGTCGACCAAATAATTGATTTCATCCATTCATTTAAGAATCAATTAAAATCATGGTGCATTATTTGTGTCTGATTTTTAGACAGTAATATCCTCAGTTCTCATCTTTCCAAGCATGTGAGAAACTACCTGTTAACAGGTGTTATGGGGTATACTCTCTCCTAGTAAAATAGTAGGTCATTTTGAACATGTGTAACGCATTGCCCAATACTCAGACTGAAATCTACACAACGGTGATGGTGGTAGGATGCTTAAGAGTTAAGGGGGAGAATTATAGAAGGGACTGGTATGACTTCTCAATTGGAAAATCAAGAAATAGGGCTGAATATAGGTTCATTCCTGTAATCCCAGCTACTTTGGAGACAGAGATAAAATTGTGCTTCAAGGTCTGACTGAACAAGAAAAGAAGTGTTATCAGACCCAATGTCTAAAAACAAGCTAGATGTGGTGGAACATACCTGTAATCTCAGCTTCTCGGAAGTAATTGTTGGAAGATCACATTCCAAGGCCAACCCAGGCAAAAGTATGAGATCCTAGCTATAAAAAAGGGAGAGTTATGGTTCAAGTGACAGAAAACTTGCCTAGTAAGTAGAAGACCTTAAGTTCAAATCCTAGTGTTGTCAAACATATTTTTATAAAGAAAAGTCAAGCAGTAATATAGAAAAGCTCAAATGCAGTTCATCCAGACAGAAGAGGCAATTACATAGGGCAAAGAGTGAAGAATGGTGCACCTGTAACAAACTAGAAACCAAAACCTATTTGCCACCAAATAACAACAGCAGCACAGCAAGCCTGTTTTGAGACACTCTCCTCCCTCGGCATCTTCCAGCCAGGTCACCTATCAATTCCTCAAAGTCCTCAAAACCTTATGCCCTACACACATTATTCTCCTTTCCCTAGAAAGTGATTCTTTCTTTGTCGTTAATACTCCCACTACCATTCTCACTACAAACATGGCTTCTCAGGAGACCATCCTAGGTCCCCTCTCCCCTAGGCCATTAAGAGAGCTCTGTGTCTCTGTTATTTTCTCAAACATGTCAGACATTCTTTCACATAGAAACAAAGAGTGCTATTTATATTCATAAATGTGTGATTGGTTTATTGCTTTCTGCTTCTCTCACACTACTATACAACTCATTAAAGACAATGTTTTGTCCCTATGTTTTCTTCAACCAAGAACAGTACTTGGTGAGAAGTAGGTGGTGTTTATTCATCCAATGAGCAAATGGATGGTAGAATAAACATTGGCATACTATTCATTATTTTTACTATAATTATTTTCCATACAGACAAAGGTACTTAAAAGTCTCTCTTCTTTGACATTATTTCCCCCAAATAAAATAGAAGTTAATAATTCAAACTAAGACACTGGATTTGAGTCTTGGACCTGTCACATGCTTCAAGTGTGACCTGACTGTATAATTTCACATCCATTATTATTGAAATTAAATGAGTTGATAAGACTAATATTGTAACTGGCCCTTTATAAACATTTAGCCAATACACTATTATTATTGCTATTGACATTAAAATAGTCCCAAATCTCTCTCCATAATCTGTGTGGCCTTTAAAATGCCCCTTAAGTTCTAAGTTTGTCAGTTTCATCATCTTTAAAATAATAATATCAGTCTCCCAACATGCTTCACAAGGTAATTTTAAAGATGCAATGAATTAACAAGGAGAAAAGCCTCTCTGGATGTTGAAAGGAAGACATACATGTAGGAAGCCACTACTGACAACTCTAAAAACACAGGGTCAAACTAGACACAATTGACAAATATTTTCATGTCTTTGTGTTTCCTTTCTGATAGGCTTAATAGAAAAATGAGAAGTGATATTTTTGTCAAGCATAACAAGTATTTGATGATTTATAGTATTTCATGAGTATACAAATGGAGGGGGAAAAAGAAATGAACACAGCATAGTTTAACAACATATCATGCAGAATTAAAATGCCTATACTCAGCTCCCTATCAGCAGCTTTCTAGCAGTACAATCACAGGCAAATTGTTTAATCTGTTTACATTAAGTTACAGCAATAGTAATACCTGCTTCATGCATTGTAAAGGATCAAATTACGTGTCTAAATCATTGACAACCTGTCTAATACTTGTTATATAGTTAATATAGGTCAATGATCACTAAAGTTGTAATTATTTTCTTTGTTTTTATCACTATTATTATGTAGATTAATAGTTAAGCATCTATGAAAATAGTTAAAAGTTAAAGAATATCTAACAATATCCCATTCGTTCAAAATATTATGTTCATATTTGAAGGCAAAGGAATTACTTTCCTAATGTATCAGTGCACCCTAATCACTTAGTTTGATCCAGACTTATGCTATGTGATTCAGAGACATTCTCAAAAGTAAAGAGGTTGGAAAATCACATCCAATGAACAGTATCTTCACCCCAAAGTACAGAAATCATACATTCTTATAATAAAACTTCATCCTAGCCAATGTCTTCCTTTTCAGAATACAAATCCCAGCTCACTAGACAATTGCTCAGCAAGAAAGACTTGGAATAATTTTTGTGTAGCTTAAATTCATGCCAGGTTACAGCCATGCTTTCTCTACTTGGAATTGTCACATATCCAATTCAACTCAATTATCTTCACTCAGCAGTTTTCTTCTGACATCAGGAAGCTCTTGTTCCCTTGGGACATCAAACCATGGCCTATGTACAGCAAATTTGACTTGTATTTATTTTTGCAAGAAGTAGTAAAAATAAATTAATAATAATTATTACTATGTACACTCACCCAAGAAGACTATATTAAGAAATGATGATGCCTTAAACTTATGAGTAAGGAAAATAATGACTCAGGGTGATGCCCAAATTCTCACTAATGTGAGATGAATTTTTGAACCACTAAAGGACATTCCTAAGGTGAATAGCCAACTACTTTGTGAGGTACCCATCGCCCCTAAAAATATTAGGGGCAGAGATTGGAGGATTGTAGTTCAAAGCCAGGCCCCACAGGAAAGTCTGTGAAATGCTTATCTCCATTTAAAGACCAAAAACAAAAACAAGAACAGAAACAAAAACCATGCTGAAAAAATGGAGGTGTGGCTCAAGTGATAGAGAGTTTTCCATAAGCAAAAAATGCTCAGGAACAACACCCAGGCCCTGAGTTCAAGCCCCAGAACTGGCACACACACACACACACACACACACACACACACACACACACACACACACACACACAAGAAATTATGTATCTTTCAGTAGTATTAAAACTAATAATAGTAGATAACATGTATTGAGCACACTCATGGGCCAGGCCCTCCTTCAACTACTTTTCTTGTCTTCTACATCATTCTCCCATCATGGCCTGTTATGTATTTTCATTTTACAGATTAGAAGCTAAGATTTTTAGAAAGTGACTTACTAAGTTGGTTTGAAAGCTAATTAGTGGCTAGTCTATGATATCTACCCTGTTCCAAAACTCCAAACTTACATTCTAAACAACCTGGCTATACTACCTAATTAAATGTCTTATTACATTAATGTTGGCTTGTAGGACTTGTCTCAGTTATTAATCGTATTATTAATATTTTCACATGGAGCATAATACCCACAAACCTCAGTGGGATCCAGGACTTAAGTATGGTCTCAAACTTAAATACCTCTGCAAAGGGTAATAATTAGCTCCCCTAGCATCTGAATCCATTCAAAGAATTTGCAGACCTCTGGTTTCAAGGCCTCTATCAGGAGTCCCTGATAAAATATTTTCCAACCTACTCAGACTTAAAACACAAAAGAATATTTACTTTTTTAAAATAGTAACAGTACTATGGATGGGCTCACTGATAATTCTGGTAGAAAGTTCCATTAACTACATGTCTGTGATATTGAATAGAAATACATGTACATGGCTCATGACTACTATGCTTCAGAAATAAATAAATATGAAATAAATAAAATACCCACTTATTCATAGTAATAGGAAGACCTTGTATCATTTCCACACCTCCTACTAATTAAAAAATTATATAATACTAGGTGCCTTTTCTCTTTTGTTTTTCTTTTTTTTCTTTTCTGTACCCATTGAGCTGTCACTGCCACATAGGCATGACAACAGAGCTGGTGATGGCACATCTCCCTGTCCAGTAAACCAATCCTGCTAGCAAAACCCGGCAGACTGAGAAGTGGGGGAAAGTCCCAGTGTCCTTGCAAGTTCAAAATTGTAGTTTCATGTATTCTTTCTGCATTTAATACTGTTTATTCAGACACTGAATGAGGAAAACTTCTTAGCACAGACAAGAAGAATAGTAGAAAGATTCTAATACATGAGAAATCAGGCCTGGACATCAGTTTCATAGACAGTTACAAACCCAAGGGAAGAATTCCACTAAAATTCAACTGGAGAGCAAGTAGGCTTATAAGCACAATCACATGCCTTATGTAAAAAAAAAAAAAAAAAAAAAGTCCAGCAAATACTGGGCGCAAACAATCTCTGCCCATTTGAAATTGATAAATAGAAATAATATACAGAAGTCAAAAGTAGTAAATGCTGCTGAGCAAGAATAGAGACTCAGAAAGAAAATTAAACATCATCAAGCACAAAAAGAATAAGATTTTAAATTTCCTGTAGTCGAAAACAAGAACAGAAATCATTAGAAGGAAAAAATTAAGATAAACTGAAATAAAACTGGTTTAAAAAAAACAATTTATATGAGATCGTCAAGAAAGCTAATCATGTATTAGCAGTGTTAAGACTACTACAAGGCAGAAGTAGCAGCCATTTCAAATTACTGATGTAGCAATTTGAAAGTCATAGTTTCAATACCTTTTCCATAGACTATTATGCCAAAGAACAGGGGATGATGCCTATTCCAAGAACTGAAAGGGCTGGGAAGGTGGCTCAGTGGCAGAGCGCTTGCCTTGCATGCCTGAGGCCCTGGGTTCGATTCCTCAGCACCACATAAGCAAAAAGAAAAAAAGCCGGAAGTGGCACTGTGGCTCAAGTGGTAGAGCGCTAGCCTTGAGCTGAAGAGCTGAGGGACAGCGCCCAGGCCCAGAGTTCAGGCCCCACGACCGGACCCAAAATAAATAAATAAATAAATAAAAAAGAACTGAAAATCCAACTCTAGCCAAAACAATTGGCTAGAAAGCAATAACAAAAGATATAACAGAAGTCAAAACATTCTGAATGGCATGTGAGTAAGAGAGAGAGCACATGCTAGAACGAATAGACTGAGCCACATTTCCCATATCCCAGGCCAAACATACACCTAGAGCCTACTCTACAGAAAAGAGAAAAAATAAAGAGATCTACAAAGCCAGGTGCTGATGGCTCACAACTGTAATCCTAGCTATCCAGGATGCTGAGATCTGAGGATCTTCGAAACTAAAGCCTTTTCGAAGCCAGCCAGGGAAGGAGAGTTACACATAAAGTCACAGCAGTGGTGTCTATGGCTGATCTAGAGTTAAAGTGGGGCTAAAGCTAAGGTTTGGGCTACGGTCAGCATTAATATTAGGCATGCTGAGGATAGTTAGTGTTCATGTTTTTTTAATTTTATTTTAATGTAAAGATGCTGTACAGAGGGGTTACAGTTACATGAGTAAGGTTATGAGAACATTTCTTGTTGGGCATTGTTACCCTCTCCTTTGTTTTTCTCCCACTATCCCTCCCCTCCTCTACCTCCTCCACCCTCTTCCCTGAAGTTGTAAAGTTCCTTTCCCACATAGTGTCTTGTGAGTATCATTGTTGCAATGGGTCCTCCTGTGTCCTTGTTTCAACATTTTGTTATTCCCCTTCCCCTCCCCAAATTAGATAAATGTATATACAAGATGCAAGGTACCAAAATCAAGTACAGTGACAAGGATATTCCATAGGAGGAAGAACACACAAAAGAATTTTTTTAAAAATCATACAGTACATTAAAAACAACAATAAAGAAAAACCTCTTATATCCATATCTTAGGGTTCATTTCACTTAGCATCATCTTATATGGTCATATGTGATAGCTTTTGAGCTTTTCGGCTTATCTGATAAGATTATCCTAGATATATACTAATTAAAAATGACGTAAGCCAGACACAAAGAAATATAGGTCCCATAGTTTCCCTTATTTGTAATAATTAGTATACATCTAGTGCTCATATTTCAATAGTAACTGGATTACATTAGGATTTCAGGCCAGGCTAAAGTTTAGGTTCAACTTAGATTTAGGCTTAAGTTTAGTGGGGGACTGGAAAGGTAGGGAGAAAGGAACTGTCAGTTCATGCCTGTAATCATAGCTACTCAAGAGGCTGAGACCAGGAGTATCATGGTTCAAAGCCACCCTATGAGAAAAGTCTTTTAAGACTCCATCTCTAAAATAACCATCAAAATGCTGGTCTGGAGGCACAATTCAAGTAGTAGAGCACCAGCCATGAGCAAGAAAGCCAAGGGAAAGCAAAAGACCCAAAGTCAAACCCACACACAGGCAAAAAAGAAAAAAGAAAAGCCAGGAAACAGTGGCTTGTATCTATAATCCTAGCTACTCAAGAGGCTGAGAGCTGAGGATTAAGATTCAAAGCCAGCCCCAGCAGAATGGCTCATGTGGTAGAGTACCATCTGTGGGTGAAAAAGCCAAGCAAGAGTGTAAGGCCCAGAGTTCAAGCCTCGGTATCAATATACATACAGGTACACACATATATACATATATGTACACACACACACACACACAATGTACCTGATCTGAATTTGAATTTATAGAAGTTTGATAAATATTTTATGGGGCAAATAAATTGTACACATATTTATTGAAACAATACACAGACAAGGGAACAGGAAGTTATGGTATAGTAGCAACTCATATGATAAAGATTTGCACAGATGTTGAAAAGAAAATTAAAATCCCATCCTGAGATGTGAGAAAGATCTTAAAAACCAAATAGAAATTCTTTAGGAAGATATGTGAGCATCTCAGAGAAGAAAACAGAACCTGTAGAAGCAATAAGATACAAGAAGAAAGAGTATTCTATGTGTTCTATGCAATGCCATTGAAGCCAGAGTTCAAGGACTTTCCACACATGAGTTGAGCGGTAAATAGACCATGCTAAGGAAATGGATATTTAATTAGCATTGGTGACTTCCTAAGTTAGTGACATTCTTTATAAAACCTAACATCATATTTTCCTTCCCCAATAAATATTAGGCTGAGCCTTTCATGCCTGAGGAGTTGATGGATTCAGAATATTGTTCTGAGCATTGCTTTATGACTATGTTGACTTTTAATTTTGAAATAAGAAGTTAGCATTTATTGAACACTATACTGTGTGCCAGGCATTGTGTGAGTTTTCAAACAATATTCATTGAAATCCTTCCAAGTATAGGCATTGTTATTCTCAGTGTTCAAATTTAAAAATTAAAAAAAATTGAAACTGGAAAAAAGTTACTAATATTTCTCCATGTCATCATACTACTCCAAGATAGTCCCAGGTTTTATGGTGTTTCCTTTGAACCTAAAAGGGAGACAAATCCCCTTAAATAGAACATTATGATCCCTGTGGAGATGGAGAGTTTCCTCAGCTCATTCCTTCCTCTGTCACCCAGACTCACCTGCTCTCCAGGACAGGCAGGGAAGGAGCAAGCAGTGATGCCTTGCTAGATCCTCCCTGTGCGTTTTGACATGTCAAGAAGAACTTCTGAGAAAAACTGGTAACAATTTCTATTCTTGTAGTCATTCTGGGCCCTATTGAACAAGAGAAAAAATGCATGTGGCCACTTGGCATAGTCTAGAATAAACAAAATACTTTGTTTAAGTCACTTTCTAATGAATTCTATTATTACTACCCAGCCCTGGGGTTAAACATCAGGATCTGAACTGAGCTGGGTACACTGGGATCAGACTCTTAAGTTATGTCAGTCTCTGCAGAAGCTTATTAAAGGAGCTGTAATCTCATCTCCTCCCCTCTTTTCTGTTTCATTTTGTCTTAATTTTATTGTAA